TCCGTAATAGGACCTGCTTGCGCCATTTTTGCGAACCACACCCCAGGGTGGACATTTGAAGTCAACCTCTAGGGCATGTATGATGGCACAAAGGGAGCATGGGCGAAAGAGCCGTTGATGGGCGGCGTTGGAGTGATGCGGGAGGTGAGGTCGAGGGCGTTCGGAAATCGTGCACGGACCAGGCGCTTCTGGCCTGGGGCATCCGCGGTGGGTTACATGGGGCAGCCTAAGGTGTTAGCGACTGATCTTATCCTTACATTCACCGTCTTTGGAGGGATTATTGTTATGCCTATAGAAGTCCGTCAATTGGCTACTCGAATATGCTCGGCTGCCTGATTAGTATTTCATTATCCCTTCTAGATTCGTTCAACTTATCCCTAGGATTAGGCATCTCTGAAGCCAGTGCGACCCGAGCGTAAGTACAGCCTCGTTCACATTTTCATGTCGCCGAAGGAGGTGCCCTGAATCAATCCTTGCTTTACTGGTGGTCTTCTGATGCCCAATCTTAAAGCTTTGGATGTCATGGGACTGTTTGACGGTGAGGTAATGCAGATCATAAGCCACATGCACACCTCAAGAGTTATTGAGGGACTACGGAATCCGGGGCGCCGGGGCTTCCTGGCTTCGTCCGTACAAGTGTAAGCAGGTAATTGAGTAGTTGCCTGTGCGCGAACAGCGACAAAAGTACCATGATGTACGTGGTGTCTGACGAAAAGACCTAGAGCCTCTTCCCAATGATATGAAATACTTTGCCCTGGAATGTGATATCTTGCTGCCTGTCCCTGAATATTATATAGGCCGAAGATCCAAAATCGAGGGTGTAGTACGTATTTGCGCTTTAGTGTAACTGAAACAAGGACCGGCACTTACCACACGATGTATATGTGTAGTGGTTGAGTATTTTTAATGGCTCATTGAGAAGCTTGACTTCCGCCCCGCGCTTAGCTGAAGTAAGACGTCTTGAGACCTTCGCATTTGTCTATGCAATTCAACAAATTTAGCTTCCAGAGGTCATCTGGGAAGGGCCTAGTAGACATAGAGAAGCCCCTTATCTTGTCACGATATGCGGACCGATCTCTTTAATGCAGCGTTGTACATTATAGCCTATGACCAGATGATATTGGCTAATGTCGAATGGCGTAAGATGTTGTTTTCTATGACAACATTCGAGACCGCAGGGTAACTAGTACTAAGCAGTAGCTCCCTTTCGGGCCGGGGGGTATGCCGCCAGTAGATAGTGGATAAGGGACACGGGCATCATCCACCTTCCGTGAGGATCCTCGGCAATCTTAATAGCCAGCGCCTGCCGTAACCGGATCAGTGGCCATAAAATGAGGCCAGCTGGAATAATCACCTCACTGGCTTACATTTCGTCGGAGTTAACCCTGCAACGTAAGTACCATAATTCCGGTCCCCTGGGATTTGTAATCGAGGCGGGAGCCTATCACATCCGCACGATAATGGCGACAGTGGACCTCGGTGGGGGATATGACGGTTCAGGTTGAAGAGGGGTAGCAGTCCGGAGTAAGTATAAAGGCAATGGCGTGCTGCCATACTTTCCTTAGGTACGATACTGAATCAGACCCATCAAGTGCCCCTGTATACGAACCCAGCCATCACTTGACCCCCCGTATAACTAGTATAGCAACCATGCCCAAAGTTCTCTTGAGTGGTAAGTATCAAGTTCTACAGATTCTCAGACATGGTTTTCAACAGAGCTAACTGGTTCTTTTGTAGGAGGTAGCGGCTTCATTGCTGCTCACGTTGTTGACATCCTGCTCGCGCACGGGTAAGAGTCAATGGCTCAGATTGCTTCCATGATATCACTAACCTGGCCACCGCAGCTTCGACACCGTAGTCACCGTGAGGTCTGAGGAGAAGGGCCAAAGGATTCTAGAGGCTCATCCAAATACGCCAAAAGAAAAGCTTTCCTACGTTATTGTTAAGGATATCGCAGCAGAGGGTGCCTTTGATGAAGTACGGCTCCCTGTTATGCCGACCCATACCACCAATGCTTCCATGAAGTTGCTTGCTTCGTTCAATACTAAATCACTGCTCGTGTAGGCCGTCAAATCTGACCCGCCATTCGACTATGTCTTGCATACTGCATCGCCCTTTCACCACAATGTTCAAGATCCAGTGAAAGACTTCTTGGACCCCGCCATCAAGGGAACAACCGGTATACTGAAGGCAATCAAGGCCTATGCTCCAACGGTGAAGAGGGTCGTTATCACTTCTTCATTCGCAGCGATTGTCAATGGCAAGAAGCATGCCGATTCGTACAGCGAGAAGAATTGGAACCCGGTAACTTGGGAGGAAGCCTTGATCTCCTCTAATACCTACCGTGCGAGCAAGGTATGTGAAGGACCCTATGCTTGGACTTACATGAAATGAAATCTGACTCGTCTGTGCAGACTTTTGCAGAGAAAGCAGCCTGGGACTTTGTAGAGAAGGAGAAGCCGAACTTCGATATTGCAACTATCAACCCGCCCTTTGTTTTTGGGCCAGTTGTGCATTATCTGAACTCATTGGACGCCATCAACACTTCGAACCAGAAAGTTCGTGACGTGATTCAGGGAAAGTGGAAGGACGCCATTCCTCCATCCTTCACATTCCTCTGGGTAGATGTGCGCGATGTTGCACTTGCGCATGTTAGGGCTATCGAGGTCCCAGAGGCCGGTGGCCAGCGTTTCTTTGTCACCGCCGGTTATTACACAAACAAAGAGATTGCAGACGTGGTCCGAGAATCGCTGCCCGAACTTGAAGATAAATTGCCCTCGAAGGACATTCCGAGTGATTTTCCGGCGGACATCTACGGCTACGACAACAAGAGATCCGTTGATGTTTTGGGCATCCAATACCGGACATTGAAAGAGTCCATTGCTGACACGGCTAAGTCATTGTTGTCCATTGGCGTCTGATGTGATATATGTTGGGATATAATATGTACATTTCAAGAACAACCGGACCAGGAAGAAAGATACTATGGATAGGATGGAAATGATAATTGAAAATGCAGTGCTACTATTCGTTGAAATAAGAAAGAGGCTGCACAAGATGTAGTTGTAGTTTCCCGTATTACGTGGCTTGGCGCGCCTTGGGCATTGCAACCAAGTTTTCTCCAGCTTTCTCCGGAGATAGAACAATACCGCAAAACACCACATTGCCCAATGTCCGCCATGGCAACAGCCAGGCTATCTCCGACAGCAAATCTGCTGCGGAAGTCTCGCCTTTTCGCTCTTCCACAGGCTCTGACGCCACCCCCGACTCCGCCGACCTCGAAAAATGTCAACGAATCCGAGACCGCAACCCTTCCTCATCCTATCCGAGCGTCCATCGTCACACCATCGTCTTCTCTTTCTAGGGGTGACTGGGGTCTGAAGAGGCCTCTCCCCGCCAAATCGACGTCCGAAAGATCTTCCAGGCCCGTGGTCAGAGTCAATGCACTCGATACCTTCGAACACATCACGGACTTCGAGTCCGCGGCCGATCATACGGTGACCCTGGAGAAATTCCAGGAGCTTAACATGCCGGTTTCGCTCCCCGCGAGAGTCACTTACGGAACCAGCATCATTCCCAGACACCAGAGTCCATTCGAATCGCATGTCGACAACACACATACCAGCGAAGGCCTGAAGGAGCCCGGCGCGAGGCAGTTCAGGCACTCTGGGCCCTGGCTTGCCGGGCAGACGGAGGCCGAGTTCCAGGCATACTTGAAGAAGGTCCGCAAGAACAAGCCCGAGATCTTACAGAAGCTTCGCGAGTATTTTGTCGCCAAGCGCGAAGCCGAGCAAAGGAAGCAGGCACAAGATAACGGCCAGGATCTGGCAACTCTCCGACCTGTCGAGATCACCGACGAAGAATTCCAGGGTTACCTCAAGAAACTCCGCACGGATCCGTTCTCACTCGGCCCTGTTGTCTTTGAGCTTCTGGATCTGCCGTCTCCTCCGGCCGTACCGAGCAGCCGACTCAACAACCCATACTACCAGTCCCCCGGCAGCAAGCTCTCTTCCGCAGAGTATGTCGCATCCGGACCTCCAAGGACGCATCCCTCGGCGGGTCTGTCTTACACGAGATCGCATGCTTTGATCTACAACCACCCCAAGTATGGACCCCAGGCTCACCAACGCCCAGTGGAGGCACGTATCTTGCGCCCCAGAGGACGGAAGGGCAAGAACACGAAGGCAATTGCGGGTGTTGCTGGTATTGCCGTGGAAGACTTGAACACCGTCACCTTCACTGAGCAGGACTCTCCGGCTGGGCTTGCCTACTTTGACGCCTCTATCCCCGGTGGTGCTAAGTACTGGGCCACGCCCATCCGGGCCTTTGTCGACTCGGAAGGCAAGATTGGCCTGGCCTCTTACCGCGCTAGCGCCACTGCTAAGGCCCCCTACGGAATCGATAGCCAGAAGAAGCCCGGATCGTACAGCATCTCTGACGTGGCTCGCGGCGACCAGCGCGTGGTCCCGAGACTGGATAGACAGCGGAACGCCGCAGCAGAGACCGAGGAGGTTGCGCGGAACCTCATGAAGAGCCTTGGCTCATAGAGTACTGGCGTTGCATTCCAAACAAGTTTCGTCTCATGTGTCAGACAGGTTCCATCTTCCACTTAGAGAGTTTTGCTGTATGAATAGGTTTCTGGATGGTAAATGTATAGTTATTTCTTTGCACTTGTTCTCATTCCTTTGTGATATAAGCCGGCTACATCTCATTTGAAGTATAAATAAATTGCAACCATCAAAGATGTCTCAGTAAGCATTATCACTATAGATCGAACTTCCATGCATAACCCAAAGCAACCCAGCCATCTTCATAGTTTGTTACATAATCAACTCTTAATAATCCAGCACAACGACCGACCGCTTTGGCAGTATCTTCACGTGACCGCAAATAGGGCAGTCACATCAGGGTAGATAGGCATCACATGACCCGCACATCCTAAGCGAGGGCCGGGTAAGTTGAAGGAGCAAAAGACATCAGAACAACTTGGACGGTCTTTCGAACATCCATCCAGCCAGCAACAAACCGCCAAAATGGGTCGCGTCCGTACCAAGGTGAGCATACACGACCGCAATAATGGAGGAAAGAAAGAATATCAATTCTAACGAAAATGCGCGCCATAATAGACAGTCAAGCGTTCCGCTAAGGTCGTCATCGAGCGTTACTACCCCAAGTTGACGCTCGACTTCGAGACCAACAAGCGTATCTGCGATGAGATCGCTATCATTGCCTCCAAGCGTCTCCGCAACAAGGTTAGTGACCTCCCTTTTTTCACTCCGGAAATTCCGAATGTGATATCCGAAAAGGGAATCAATATGCTAATATGAAATTTGATATAGATCGCTGGTTACACCACCCACCTTATGAAGCGTATCCAGCGTGGCCCTGTCCGCGGTATCTCCTTCAAGCTCCAGGAGGAGGAGCGTGAGCGCAAGGATCAGTACGTTCCTGAGGTCTCCGCTCTGGATGTTTCCCAGACCGAGTCCGGCCAGCTCGACGTCGACTCTGAGACCAAGGACCTGCTTAAGAGCATGGGCGTACGTTTTCCCCTCAATGAAAATTATCCTCGAATTGTATAATGGCTAACTCAATCGTGCTTTTAGTTCGACAACCTCAAGGTCAACGTCATCCCCGTCTCCCAGCAGCAGGCTCAGGAGCGCCCCCGTCGCTACCGGTAGATCATTGCGCCGTTGAACGGAAAATGAAAAAGTTCTGATTGTCTTCGGTCGATCCATGGCGTTTCCCCCCATGCTTGTTCTGGTTGGCTCACCCAGCTATCGATTTAGCTTAGAGACAGTCCCGGATGAGAAATGAACACGAATTTTGTCAAACAAGGTGTCGCTGATTCCCCTGATGGGGATGATGCTTGATTGCCAATCTTATTCCCTCGTCTGGTCTTACGGCCGGATGTCTCGTAGGAGATTCTACGGGGGACGGCTGTCTGTTGGACATGCCGGACTACGGAGAGTCGATATCGTAGACTATACAGTCATAAGCCATTGATTTGGTTCTTATCTGACACGCTATCTTATCGGGGTATCAACCTTTGTTCAAAACGCCTCATAATGCCATGCGCCAAAGCATCTTAGTTCTCATGAGGAACATATCCTTCGATGGAGCCTCCCTTCTCGTCTCCAGGACGCATCTGCGGTGCTTTCGCTGGCCCGCGGGGGTTATCGTTCTCTTGGACCTGAATATCCACTCTGCCAGTATAGAGGGCAGGATGCGCATCTCCTCGTTCCATGGCCAGTTCTCGTGAACGAGCCTCGTCGCGGACGGAGAGTCGTGCAATGTCATCTGCCATATCGCCAGGGCCTCGTAGTTTCTCCAAGTGCATACTGTCCAACTGGCCGGCAACGTCGCGGATAGAGACGGGATCTCTCATCTTGCCCTTGCCTTCTTTCGCCCTGGCCTCCTCCAGCAAGACGAGATGCTTGCCACGCGCATCGTCAGCCCTTCTTTCCCAGACTGGTTCTTCGGCCAGCTGTACTCGGATGTACATGGCTCTTTCGGCGCACTCATTTGAGCACCACATCTCGAGCTTCTCTTTGGGAACGATATCCATCTCGCGGCCGCGGCCACCCCGCCCGCTTCCCTTCGCACCCCACGTTATGCGAAACGAGCCTCTACCATCTTCCTTGCGACGCTCTCGAGGACATAGGCCGTAGCCACAGAGACCCTCGATATTCCTCTCCTCGATCAGATTATCGTAGTCGGCGGGTTGAAAGGGGACTAAGGCGGACTTGAACTCCCGAACATCGTCGGGGGAGGGTGATGCAGGATCTGCCGAACGGGAGGACGGAAGTTCAACGAGTCTCAGAATGCGGTCGAGAATCAGGACCTCTGTGTCCTTCTGGGCTTGAATTTGATTCGCATGATGCAAGGCGATAGCTAGATGGCGCGGATCGACATCTGTCCGGTTTGCAATTGAGCTAGGTAGTTGCTGCTGTTGCTGTTGAGGCATTTGAGGGGGTTTAGAAGGTGACGCCCGACGGTTTGGGGCGGAATTGGAGGGGCCAGATGCAGCGGTCGCTGCGTGGATCGAAGGAAGAGATGTCTTCAAAATTGGGGTTGGCCGTCCAGAGGACATTCCAGCAGATATTCCGAATGGAACAGGTCAGAAAGCGGGAAATATTGTAAAAGTCTGCGTCACTTGTGGTGGAGAAAAAGTGTAGTATTGGTGAGGAGTAAGATAGTGGTGGAATGGATGGGAAGGTTGGATGGATAAGACAAAGTTCCAAGGTTGTTCGGGTCGGCAGGGAGGCAAAAACCCCGGATTCAAGACGGCAAGCTACGGATACGTAATAACAAGGAGGGTCTTTAAGTAGTTAAGGAAGGGCAGGTTTAACAATGACTTTACATGGTGCATGCAGGATTGATTAAGGGGAGGGAAATATAAGCTGCATCAGGGACGCCACCAGTAGTAGTAGTAGTATTAGTATAGTAGTAGTACTTTCTAGCTACAATTCAGTGTAAATAGCAATGATGTACCACCGCGATTAATTCCACGGCCCTCAGGCAGCTGTTCCATCGTAAGTTTTTGTGTTGGCTTTTGGTGTCTGACGGGCTGTTCAATCTTATTAGCTGCCGATCGCAGCGGGAGTGGAGCAAGTGTCCCGCCAGGCAAGAAGAGTTGTGAAGTGTTAAGTTAGTACTGTGGTCGTTGTCGTCGTCGTAGTACTTGTCAGTAGGAGCAGTCGTTGTGCTCAGTGTCTCTCTCTCTCTGTGTCTCTCGCCGTCCCTCCTCTTCCAACTCTCCCTCTTCCCTCCTCCCTTTCCAACACCACACCCACCTCCCCCCCATCCCACTCCTTCCTTTTGTCTTCCTTCCCTTGTGCATTAATTTCCTATATTCTCCCGTCTCTCTGGACATTGTTGTCTTTTACCCTGCAGTAAGTTATTTCTCTTTCTTTACTGCTTCTTCTTCCCCTCCTCCTCCACTCCCCCTCCCCCTTGCGGTGTTTCCGATCTCCGGAGGTACTAAGCTCTCTGACTACGTCAGTCAGTCCAACAGGCTGACATATTATTATTGTTATTTTTGCTCCCTCCGAAGCATACCGGCTTACCTTCCAAAACCCCGCTGTTAAGCATATCTGCACTGCACATGTCTGTCTGCATTAGACGCTTTCCAGTCTAGTGCTCCACTACCTGCAATTATTATTGTTCTGCCGTGTCATTTGCATTCCGCCAGCCTCCCTCTCGCTCCGCTCCCCAATCTACCCCCCACCACCACCACGTCCGTTGTGACAGCGTCTCGACTTGCCAGATGTCCAGTCCGCCGTTCACAGTCAAAGCGGTCTTCGAATACGCTTCGGACCACGATGACGACCTTAATTTTGCCATCGGCCAGATTGTAACCGTGACGGCGGTGGAAGACGCAGAATGGTACTTTGGTGAGTATACCGACGAGTCGGGGCACAAGCGAGAGGGTATTTTCCCCAAGAACTTCGTGGAAAGATATGAACCCCCAGCTCCTCCGCGGCCTACACGTCCGAGCCGACCGAAGAGAGAACCAGAGGTCGCTCCCGGGCCGCCTCCTCCAGAGCTCGCTGTTGCTGTCGAGTCCCCTACGACTGAGCCCCCGCGCTCCCTGGAACCCGAAGTGGAGGATACACCTGCACCTGTGCCCCAACCTCCTCAATCGCCGCCTCCTGCGTTGGCGTCACCAACCCGTGAGCTCCCCTCGTCCCCGAAGCCAGCGCCTGTCCCGGCTCCTGCCCCGGTTCCTCAATTCCCTGCAAATGACATCAGCGAACCGGCTCCGAAACCCTCGTCCAAGCCCCCACCTCCCGCCGTTGCGGAGAAGCCGACGGGGTCATCGTTCAGGGATCGCATTGCTGCTTTCAACAAACCCGCCGCACCCCCAATTGCACCCTTCAAGCCGGGTGGTTTGAGCGGCCAGACCACTTCCTTCGTCAAGAAGCCGTTCGTTGCGGCACCTCCCAGTAGAGATGCATACGTACCCCCGCCCCGTGAGGCTCCCCGCAAGATCTACAGGAGGGAGGAGGATCCAGAGGTCCAAGAACGTCTGGCGAAGGAGCCGCCCGTTTCCGAGACTCGGCCACTGTCCAGTGGAGGCGTGGAGGAAGGTGCAGAGGAGCAGCCCAAGCCGACAAGCTTGAAGGAGCGGATCGCTCTCTTGCAGAAACAGCAGATGGAGCAAGCTGCTCGTCACGCTGAAGCCGCTCAGAAGAAGGACAAGCCCAAGCGCCCTCCTCCCAAGAAGCGCACCGAGTCTCACGAAGAAGCGATGCCTGCGGAAGAACCGCCGACCGAGAGCACCCCATCTGGCGAGCCTGAGAGAGACCACAGTGTTGAGACGGTGAAAGCCGCTCACCCGCCAGCCCCGCCAGCAGCTATGCCCCCTCCGCCAGTGCGGGAGCTCGTCAGCGATACCAACGATGCCGATGATTCAGCCGCCGCTGATACGGAAGATGCGGAGGAGACGTCTACGAGCAAGGAGGATTATGACGAGCGCGCCCGGGCGGAGGTTCAGCACGAAGCTCAAGCAGAATCTCGGCAGCTGGAACAAGCCGAAGAACGTGAAGCTCAGGTTGATGAAGGTGCAGAGGAGGAAGAAGAAGGGGAGGAGGAGGAGGAGGAAGAGATAGACCCCGAAGTCAGGCGCAAGATGGAGCTCCGCGAAAGAATGGCCAAGATGAGCGGTGGAATGGGTATGATGGGCTTCTTCGGGCCTCCTGGTGGCATGCCTCGTCCGGCTGCAGCTCCGCGGAAGCCAAAGGCACCCGTGGAAGCCGAGAGACCTAGCGGGGAGTATGAACGATCCGGCCCAGCTGCTGCCCCTCCAGTGCCGATCATGGCTCTGCCGGGGATGAACGTGGCCAAGCCTGCTGCCACACCAAGCGTGGAGAAGGAGGAGGAGGAAGCTCAGACGAGCCCTGTGACAGAGCAGCATCCTCCGCATGAGGTCCCTGATGTCGAAGATGTGGTAGAGGAAGAACCTCCCCGGCGTACATCCACCGACAGGCCACCTGCGCCTTTAGGTACGAGCATAAGTTATTGATGATCCTAGCATACCATCTAACTATTCTCTCTAACACAGAGCGCGCGGCTCCGCCCCCTCCGCCACTCGAAACACGGCCAGTTCCACCTCCTGTCCCTCACGATGCGCCTCTGTCTCCGCCCCCTGTTCCCGGACGTAAGTTCTCCACGGTATCAGTGTCCTTTGCTACGCATGCTGACCTGGGATAGATCAAACCACCCCTAAGGGCGTTGCTCCTGCTGACACGGGCGAAGAGTCTGACGATGAGCTCTCCTTGCATACTAAGAATCTCTCGCTAAACGCTGCGGCAGCCGATCAGTCTGCAAGCCAACCTGTTCCTGCTCCTCCGCTCCCCGATCATCTAGACTCTCGCCGCTCGTCGACATACGATGTCACCTCCCCGAAATCGCCCACACTTCCTGCAGATAAGAGACTTAGCCGACCTCCACCTCCTATTCCAGGCAACCCACCCGCCCCGGCTCAGAGTCGAGCAGCTCCTCCCCCACCGCCCGTTAATATTCGCCGGAGGTCGACTGCCGACAGTCGAACCAGTGTGACCTCACAGTCTCGCCAAGCGGGCGAAGAGGTGGAGGGCGAGGTCACCGAGTATGACGGCGACTACGACACTGACATTGCATCCGGTGCCAAGTTTAAGGACGCACTGAAATCTCATGGACGTGATTCAAGTTTCGACGAGGGGACGACTACCGACGACCATTCACTTCAATCTCCTCGGAGCCCGCCACAAACTCGTCTTCCGCCTCCGCCTCCCCCAAATGCCCCTAGGGCAGTCCCTCCTCCGCCCCCAATTCAGCCTCCCAAGAGTGCGGGCAGGGCCTCTATAGATTCCCCCCGCGGACCCCCTCCTCCTCCTCCCCACCGAGAGTTGTCTTTTGGAGGTGGTGATGAAGAGTATGATCCATACCGTTACAATGCCCCGCAACATGGACTGCCTACCCCAAGGGGGCCTCCACCTGTTCCCGCTGGACCGCCGCAGCTACCTCCTGTTGTCCCTTCCCAGCCTGCGGACGAAGAATCGGAGGAGCTCTATGAAGCTTCGCCCGTCCAATCACACCACGAATCAACATTCTCTCAGTCTGAGAAGAGAACCTCGATGGCACCCCCGCCTCCCACGTTACCCCCACCCACGCCGCGTAGCAACCGTGCATCGCTTGATGTCCCCAGAGCGCAGCCCAGCATGCGGCGGTCCATGGATGTCAGTCGTCCGTCCGCCGACCAAGGCTTCATCGCCATGGACGTAGACCTGGCAGAGAACACGCTCTGGTGGACGCAGCACAATACCCCCCCTCCCGTGTTCCAGAACCGCAAGGACATCTTGCTTGAATTCGAGGAGTCGAGTTCTTCCAAGAGAGGTGGTAAGACTATGGTGACCAAAGACATCTACGTTCTTTTCATGGACCACTCGCAAACGGTGATTACGGTCAACTTCGACGCTCGAAATCCCACGGATGTTGCCTTTGAGCAGCGCCACGAGGCTCCTCCTATCCAGCCTCGTCAGGACCAACTTGAGAACGCACATCTGCAGATTGGCACTCGCATCGCCTCCACGGCCAATTCCATTCAGAACACCACCGTTGCCGACGGCACTCCGTTTGGCCTCGTCCAGCACGTGCTCAGTCCCTTGTCGGATGCTCTCAAGCCGGTTGGAACACGTGCCTATGGCGCTTTGGTCTACTCCAATCTAGCCAACGCTTCTGTACAGCAGAACGACGAGATCCGCGCCGGTGATATCGTCAGCTTCCGCAACGCACGCTTCCAGGGACATCGCGGCACGATGCACCAGAAGTACAGTGCGGAAGTGGGCAAGCCCGACCACGTGGCCATTGTGGTTGACTGGGACGGAACCAAGAAGAAGATCCGTGCTTGGGAGCAGGGCCGCGAAAGCAAGAAGGTCAAGATGGAGAGCTTCAAGCTCAACGACCTCCGCAGTGGCGAATGCAAGGTGTGGCGAGTGATGCCGCGTAGCTATGTGGGCTGGGAGAAATAGGTACAGTATGAAATATTTGAAGTTCTGTGAAGAGTGGAGACGAGCGGAGACGAGTAAATGATTTGATTCTGGTATATCTAATGCCGCTGGTACATGGACCGCAGGCGGACAAACCTCGATTGCCTCTGTGATGTGTTAACTAACATTCTTGTTGTATGTACCTATTGATGTTATCCATATGTGCTTAATCTGTCATTTGTTTACTGCATAGTGCGAATACATTTTATGTAACATGCTTTTGCTGTAAAGTATAGAAATACTCCGTTCAAACGTAGCATGTATAGTGATGCCTCAGGCAGAAACCGGCAAGTTAGACAGCC